TTTGCATCATGATTAGTGACATGATCTCGTATAAAGTGATGCCTAATATCAATATGTTTTGTTCTAGAGTGTTGAATGAGATTCTTTGTTAAACATATTGCGCTTGTATTATCACATTTTATAGGGATATTTTTAAGATGAATCTTATAATCCTCTAAAGTGTTTTTCTTCCACACAACTTATGCACAACATGCACTAGCTGCAATGTACTCTACTTCGGTTGTAGATAGTGCAACCGAATTTTATTTCTTGGAAGTCGAAGAATCAAGTGCGTGTCCTAAAAATTAATATGTTCCTGAAGTGCTTTTTCTATCTAGTCTACATCCAGCAAAATCCGCATAGCATAAGCAATTAGCTCAAAGTTTTTAGATTTTGGATACCATAATCCTAGATTTGTGGTTCCTTTAAGATATCTAAGTATTCTCTTAACTGCTTTAAGATAGGATATCTTAGGATTAGATTGAAACCTAGCACAAAATCCTACATTAAACATGATATCCGGTCTAGTTGCGGTGAGGTAAAGTAAACTTCCTATCATACCCCTATAAGCTTTTTGATCAAAGCTTTCTCCACTTTCATCAATTTCTAACTTAGTGGAAGTGCTCATAGGAGTGTTGATAGCTTTTGAGCTATCCATATTGAACCTTTTTAGCAAATCTAAAGCGTATTTTGTTTGACTAAGAAAGATATCATTACTTAGTTGTTTGATTTATAAGCCTAAAAAGAAGGTTAATTCTCCTATCAAACTTATTTCAAATTCAAGACTCATACTTTTAGCAAATGATTCACAAAGAGATTCATTCGTGGAACCGAAAATAATATCATCAACATAAATTTGAACAATAAAAAAATTATTTTCAAAATTTTTGATAAACAATATAGTATCGACCTTGCCTTTAGAGAAATATTTTTAATAAAAAATGAACTAAGTCTCTTATACCAAGCCCTATTAAATCTCGGATTTTGATGATGAAGTCAATTGTCATTTAGTTATCTAATCCGTATATTGAGATAAGTGTGTAGGATTAACTACGATGGCAGTAAGACATGCAGCAGATGTTAAATCGGAGTCAACACCAAGATTACGTTGGGGGTTTAAGAGTTCGTAGGAAGTCCGGACGGTCGTCGGAGGTTCTATGGGAATAATCCAAGAAGTCCAGGAGCTTACCAAAGAAGCTTGTTGGAACTCGCCATGAGGATCGTCGCAAGTCCAGGAGTTTGCCGGGAGTTCATTGGAGCATCGCCAAGGGTTCGTCGGATGTTCGCTAGAAGCTCGTTGGAAGAAGCGATTGACGCACCGAAACACGATCTATAATATTGATGTCTTAATTATCATAGTTAGCATGTAGATTAAGTTAGGATTGAGAGGTGATCCCATTAACTTAATCTGGGAGCCAACTAGGCTCTTGGCAGACCCAAATTGGGCTGAATGGATCAACCCATTTGGTGGTGTCGGCGGTGGCACCGCCTAGGAGACTTGGTCTCCTAGGAGTTCTAGGCGGTAGTATCGCCCCTGTCAGGCGATGGTACCACCGCCAGTTATTACTGCCAGCGGTGGTACCGCCCGTGTCAAGTGGTGGTACCGCCTAAGCTCGATCTCCGAGCAATGTTAGGTGGTAGTACCGCCCAGACTGTTGTTACTCAAAGAAAAATAAGGACCATAGAAACCCAAATCAAAAAGGCTCATGTTATTTGCAAAATTTTGAAAGCCAACAATAGACACATTGGAAACTAAAGGCGGTTGGTCATAGGTTATTTGATAGGGACATCGAGATAACCAAACAGATTGGTGTACTATATACCTGTTCGTATGATAGAGACGGCTGGTCTTATAGCTGCTCGTATAGGGACACTAGGGATACCGTGTAAGTGCTAATTGGAGAATAAGTTCATTAATTGATCTGCTCACGGAATGCTGAATGGTTGATGATACCTCATTATCAAACAATGATTTTGTCATCCTAATAGTGTATATGGTCCTTGACTTGAGACACTAAGGATGCCCTATATGAGTACTCTACTTTTTAATATCGGATTGATAAATCTAGAAGTTCCAGATCAAGTACATCCGGTTATCGAAAGTGTTAACCAACCTTATGAGGGCTATTGAGTGTTGATAGAAGATCATTTGCTCCCGGTATTATAAAAAGAATATCTCATGTGTTCTTGCTCAAACAAAACCCCAGCCAGGGTCATTCGGATTGAGAGAAAAAGAGTTCTCCGGGAGAATTTGATTAAAGCGAGATTCGAGTAGAAACTGTATGGCCCTGATAACACTATGCCCAATATATGATCTTTGAGATTTTAAATAGATGAGGGACTATAGGTATATGGTAACTGACGATAGATAGGTCCAATAGATTAGATTTCTTTGTATCGTCTGGGAACTATGGCATAGTGGCCTAGTACATCCGTAGTCGATGAGTTGAGTGAATTATTTTGGAGATAATAATTCATTGAGCTAGAAGGAGTTCTGATAGGTATAACTCATGGCTAGCTCGATATTTGGCCTAGAGGGTTATACACATATAATAAGTGTTGCAACGAGTAAAGGTTCGAATATAAGATATCCATTGGAGCCCCTATCTTATTGGATATCCAATAAGCCCTTTAATTATTAGATCATATGGATGAGATTCAATAAGAGCCAATGAGAGATAATTGGGTAAAGACTCACTAATCTAAAAGGCTTGGATAGTTGGATGGAGATCCAATACCCAATATGGTACGATCCATTAGGGTTAAGTTGACAAAGGGCTCTATAAATAAGAGAGAACTAAAAGGCCATAGGTTGGGGTTTTTTGGTTGCCACATCCTATTCTCCTTTTCCCTTCTCCTCCTCACCCTGCAGCCCTTATTTGGGGCGTGTAGATTGTCAGAAGAGGTAGCCCATTCTTAATTACGTGGTGCACATAAAAAAGAGATTTGGATAGCGATTCGAGGAGCATCTTTGTAGCCCCTGCTATGTGAATCACCACTAGAGAGGAGGATAGTTGATCTCCTTCATCCTCTCCCATAGATCTGTAGGAATTCCAAAATATACGATCTCCTTAGGTACAATAATTATCTTCAAACAAAGCCTAGCCTTGGCTATTATATTCTCAGAATTGAGAAGAGAAGAAAAGATAAAAGAGTATGTTATTGCTACCATAGCCTTTGTACATTATAGTCCATCCTTCCTACTATAGCCTTCTTCCTTGAGTTCAAATAGCCAAAGCTCCACATCAAAGCTTCTCTACTTGTTGCTAGAAGTCCTCAAGACCTACTACCTATTATTTAAACATCAAGAGGAGGTTTCAATAGTGAGAGAGAAGAAGATCGAAATTGTCATCGACAATGATACGCAAACTACCAATAGCACTCAAGTGCTATCCAAAGACAATAAATATTCTTACACATCTTATTTGATTATTTTATTCTATTATTTTAAATCTTATAATTAGTATCTTGATTTTATAAATAATAGATGTTATTTACTTTTTATTTTATCGAGTCAACTAATCATTGCATCTAAACTCTATACGGATCACGATAATAATATATTTTTTATTATGCAAAATATCACATAATAAATTAATATTTAATTTGATTATTATAAATTTCACAAGTTAAAATGACCATCTAGGTACATTTATAAAGTTTTGATATTCATCTAACTCGGATTAGACTTGACTAAAATTAAAACGAAATATACGGTGCAAGGCAACTGTGGAGAGCATTGCATAAATAGTGATTGTATACTCGACCAAAAAAAAAAAAGAAGAGAGAGAGAGATAGATACAGACTTCGAACACATGATGTGTTTTTGTATCATCACAAAGATTTTGATTGGATTATCATAAATTACGAGAAGACTTAAGTTATTATGAAATGATTTAATCTAAATAAGTCAGATGTTGTCTCTGAACTGATGTATGAAATTAGAGATTCCTTTTTAGTTCTAATGGGGGATGGGAACTGTGCTTACTTTTCTAGCGAAGACTCTCATTGCAGAAACATTGTACTGTTGCTATTTTCCCCTGATTTTGATTGAAGATAAATATGATCATGCATGAGTGCAGATGATCAGGGCATTTCAGAGTGGTCACAAATTAATATATCTTTTCTTATGTAGCAACAACCAAGCTATGCAAATTAATTTTTATCCCAAGAGAATCGACAAAGCTAGAAATAATTTGAACTAATGCCGAGCCACTGGATTTTAAATCTCTATTTCATGTTTCAAATAAGATTTTCTTTTGGAATATCAATATCCTCGGTGTTTTGGACTTCAATATCCATCATCAAATTCTACATATATGAATATTATTCTGTGTAAAATAGTGCGTGCAGAATGTGTTTTGAGTGTACTTGACTAAAATAATAGGGATGAGTAATGAGTGTATTCCTTTTGAGAAAAGCTTAGCTAGTAATAAATAGTGACTTATTGAAATTTTTTTATCCCTTTCTTCGTTTGGTCAAACTGCACCTTAAACTTTGTAGAAATAGTGGGTTCCTTCTCCTTTCCTCCAAGTCTTCCTAAGACATTATACTAATAAAAAAGATAACCCTAAACATCCACTATTATCTTTTTGGCTCCAAAGAAGGTCAAGCCCTAATTTTTTTAGTAGTAAACTTATCTTTCATTTCAGTCATCAAGAAAGCTTAAAAATGCAGATTCAAACTTATATTTCCTTTTCCAGAGTATTGAGATTAAAGCAACTGTTTGCTTTATAAACTTGATTGTATAATTGGTAGGATTAGTATGCATTATGTCATCATCGGATCATTAAATTCAAGCAATTGTTTTATGTATGTGAAATAATTGAAGGAGTAGCATGGAGTAAATCCACCTGCAATCCATCAAACCCAAACACACAAGGGATATGTGCTGAGGAATCCCTTGATCAATGATCAAGGCAAAGGACAATACTTCCTTCCTTGTTGACACAACAATGGTTCCCCTTCCCCACTATGAATATCTTCCCTTGCTCCTCTCATCCCACCCCCCACCCCTCCCATCCTGCTCACCCTCCACATTTCATGGCTTCCATCCATCAACCCAAAGAATCGACCACATTCCTTCTCTTTCTTCTCCTTCTGAGCTTTACAGACCTATGTATTGCCTCAAGGAAGCTATCCTCTCTCTACCAACCTCCCCCTACCATCCTCACCTACCACAGAGGAGCCTTGTTGGAGGGAAACATCCCAATCTCCGTCCTGTGGTATGGGAAATTCTCACCATCACAGAGATCAATTATCACCGACTTCCTCCTCTCCCTGACTCCCCCACACCGCCCCACCACCTTCGCCATCATAACACCCACTGTCTCCAAATGGTGGAGAACAGTCGACTACTACGTCCAAAAGGCCGGGAAGAGGAAGACCCATGTGTTGCTCACCAACCAAGTGTTAGACGAGGGGTACTCCATGGGTAGGCTTCTGAGGAGGTCCGACGTCTCGGAGCTGGCGCGCAGACTGGGCGTCATGGCGGGCGGGGTCGCCCTCGTGCTCACGGCCGCGGACGTGGCCGTGGAGGGGTTCTGCTCCGCTGCCTGCGGGATGCACGGATCCGTCGCCGCGGGCTCTGCTCGGTCCGCGTACATATGGGTGGGCGACTCCGTGAGCCAGTGCCCGGGACAGTGCGCGTGGCCGTTCCACAAGCCAGCCTACGGGCAGCAGGGACAGCCCCTCGGCGCGCCTAACGGAGACGTGGGGCTCGACGGCATGGTGATCAACTTGGCGACGCTGTTGACCGGCTCCGTCACGAACCCGTACGGCGGCGGATACTTCCAGGGCGATCGGGACGCGCCGGTGGAGGTGGCTGCTGGGTGCCCAGGCGTCTATGGCGAGGGCGCATACCCTGGCTATGCTGGGAAACTGAGGGTGGACGTGAAGACGAAGGCGAGCTATAACGTGGAAGGAGAGAAGGGGAGGAAGTATTTGGTGCCGGCTTTGTTGGACCCGATTAGCAACTCTTGTTTGCCTATGGTTTGATTGGATTTGTGTTTGGGTTGAGTTATCTTGTACATATTTGTGTCAGCTACAATGTTGTTATGTATCGCAATTTGCCAGACAACTACACTTTGCAGAGCAGTGAGTGAATCATCATGCTATAGGAACAACATATCAAACAGGAGCTTGTCTCACTGTCTCCTTGTCAACTCCTCCACCAGCCTTTCAAGGTTGACCGAGGAAGAGCCCCCCGGGCCAATGGCTTTTCTTGCCCTCTCTTTCCATTCCAATGCTCTCTTTCTCATCTCTCTCCCTTTGTCCCCTGTCATCACCTCCCTTATGCACCCCTCCACCTCCCCCCTCCTCGCGTTGCTGCCGATCTCCGTACCCATCCCCCATTTGGTGCACAAGTACCTGCAGTTGGTTTGCTGCTCGGCGAAGAATGGCCAGCATATCATCGGCACGCCCTCGCTGATGCTCTCCAGCGTCGAGTTCCACCCGCAGTGCGACAGGAAGACAGCCGTCGCGGGGTGGCTTAAGACCTCCTCTTGGTTGCACCACCCCACCAACAGCCCCCTCCCTTCTACTTCCGCGGCAAACTCCTCCGGCAGCACCGCCGCCTCGCCTCGCACCATGTCGGGCCTCACCACCCACAGGAACGGGTACCCGCTGCGCGCCAAGCCCCACGCGAACTCGAGCAGCTGCTCCGCCGTCACTACCGTGATGCTCCCGAAGTTGACGTACAGGACGGAGCCATCAGCCTGGTCGTCCAGCCATTTTATGCACTCGGTATCTTCCTTCCACAGGTTACCGGAGATCGAGGTGAAGGCGGTGGTGGCGATGGACGAGACGGGGCCGACGGAGTAGAGGTTGGGGAACTTGGAGCGGATCCTGTACAGCACGGGGCCCTCGAGGTCGTCGAAGGTGTTGAGGATGATACCGGCGGCTTGGGGAGCGTCATGCGCGGCACGCCTCGCCATAATGCTCAGCATTACGTCGTCGGGGTCGGTGGTCCGGACGAAAGACGGCAGGTCCCGGAAGCGGATGTTCTCGAGGCCGACGATCCAGTCGATCGGAGTATCGAGATACCCGTTCGTCAAGAAGCTTTCATCTGCGTGAAGGCATATCATCAAATATGATTCTTTGGGTGATGCAGATCGATCATTTGGCTCGAAATCTTACCTTTGAGAGGCGTGTAGCCTCTCCTGACGAGCTCACCAAAGTGAAAGTAGCTCCAACAGCCACATGCACTATGTGTGAAGAAGAGCAAGACAGGAACCCCGAAGTCCTCATCCACGGTGAAGGACATAGCCCCATCGGACACGATGCATGTGACGGGGGGCACGTCGGCCGCGCGGCTCAGCCTCGCCATGAGGTCTCTGAATGGGGCCAGGCAGGTGGCCCTGGTGGAAGCGCACAGCGCCGGCACATCCTGCGTGTTGTTCTCGTCCGACGACGGCGGCAGGCCGTCGGGGATGGTCTCGAAGCGGAAGCCGTCGAGGCCTGCGGTGGCCCAGTCGGGGCCTCGGGACAGGGTGAGGCGGCGGTGGTTGTACTCGGTGTTGACGAAGGTGATGTGGAAGCCCCTGGCGTGGAGTAGCTTGGCCAGCTTCAGGTGCGGATTGATGTGGCCTTGCGCCGGGAACGGGACGACCACCGCGTGGGGTCTAATCTCCGTGAAGGCAGCCATTTCTTTAGGCTTTGTGCTCTATCTTCTTCTCGTGGCCGCCTTGGCTTTGCACATTAAAGCTGTCAATCTCAGAAGAACACAAAAGACAGGCTGGAACTGCAGTACTATTTTACATTATTTTTAGGTATGAACAACATGTCGTCATTTGTGTTGTCAGTTTCATAACGTTTACATATGAATTCATTAGTGCATTTGACGTATAACAAATATAGTAGATTTAATTCATATAATTATTTTATCCTGACACACATAAAACGACGGGGGTGGTGGCGCAGTTGGTTAGCGCGTAGGTCTCATAGCAGAAAAGAGTAATCCTGAGGTCGAGAGTTCGAGCCTCTCTCACCCCACAGGTTTTTAAATCATGCATTAATTATAAATCATGATATTTTATAAATATAAACTATCATTTAATAATTTTCTCTTACAATAATATGAAATCAGATCTTTATTTCTTCGTACTGTCGTAATGTAAAAATGTTTTACTACAGAATTGAACATTTCACTGTACTATGCATAATTACATGATCTATATACAGTACGATATTGCAATCCCTATATGCTTCATAGACTTGTGGTTTACAACAAAAATCCAGCACCGACTTCAGATTACTTCTTCTCAACTGAATCGTAACATCCTCTGGGGCGTCAATAAATTCGCAAACAACACAAGATCTTACTCTGTAGATTCCCAAATAATATTGTGTAGCTAACAAATCCTAGTAAGCAAAGGACTAGAGAACTATGCCTAGTAGATGTCTCTTACAATAGATTCGGTGGTCAGCTGTTGTCGATCTAGTATCCTTTTACCATACAACGAAGAAGCCAAACAAAGAGGAGCGTGGAGTGAGGACCCAGCTCACACCTCTCTCAAGGTGCGAGGAGACGCTCCTTCAGCGGCGGCCAAAGTGACAGGACAAGATCTTGATAGGCAGGATTCCCTTTGGACTCCGTCTTTGATTTTGGCCGTGTAGACTGATGGAAGAAACAAGTTAGATCTCAACGCACACCCAATGACTCATAAGGCATATAATATAATAAGAAAACAAATCTAACAAGAAACAACATTTTTTAAATTTTTGATCCCATCAAAATCACTAGAAGGGAAGAACAATCAGCACTCAATTTTCCCTTTATTTCCTCCGAACAGAAGATGAAAAAGCGAAGAACAAGCACATTCATTCATGAATAAAGATTAAAAAGGAATCCAGCAAACATAGAAAAAGTCCATGGGTTTCTAAAAGTTGGAGTTTTGCTTAATCCGGGAAGGTAACAGTACTAATTGATCCAGAAACTGTTGCTTGATCCGAAAGCAACAGGTTTTTTTTTTTTTTGGGGGGGGGTTCAAGTGCTTTCGAGAGACTTCAAGTGCTTGTCAGGGCACATTTATAGTTCGGAGTTGTGCTTTGAGTGAATCCTCCATAGAGTAAGCGGACTATGTCTCCGACTCGAGTATGGTTGTCTCGTGGCACGGCGGGATGCTGAACTCCACTATAAGGGGTATTGGCCCTTCGGGAGCCATCTTAGCTTGTCGAGGGTATTCCTGGGGCATCGACAGGGAGCTCGCAAGGGGTGATCTTGGAGGACACAGGGCGAGCGAGTGTTGGATTGCTGGTCGTAGTGCCGGAGCTACCTATTGCGCCAGCTAGTGCAAGAGAGGGGCGATCACCTACATTATGCCGATGAGTGTCTACACTTGATGGGTGAGACAAAAAGGTGTCGGATGGGACAAGTAGATGCCCCACGTTTGGCCCTGAAGGGGAAAGGTCGGGGTCGTTGAGTAGACACCAATAAAGTCCCGAGGGTTTGCATTGAGGTGGAGGCGTCTACCTATTAGGAGGTGGGAGTTGTCCTTCTTGCTCGAATAAGTTGGGTGCCAGAGGGGGTGCCTCCTCGCTGGAGCGCTCGTTGGGAGGAGTCATGGATGGATGTTCTTGCGACATTCGGGCCCTTTTTCTAGTGCCAAAATATTGTTGCCTTAGTGCCATTGATTGGAGAATCAACATGGTCTAATCCGATCCCGAAGGTGTAGATCCATCCTAGGGACTCGTGCCAAGGTGGGAGTGCGACTCGAGTGAGCAACTGAGATAGCAAGTGGACTCCCAAAGTGTTACAGGCTCTTAGTGACTAACTCACGATCATCTCGAGGAGCAGTTTGTTTATTAAAGGAAGCTTGAGGTTGTCCCGAGGTGCACCTTGGCTTTGCTTGGAAGTGCTTAGCATCGCCCTGAGGTGCTCCTTAGATGCATCGGGGTCTTGCACAAGCAGTCAGCATCGGGGGATGTCCCAACCCGACCCTTTTGATGCTTAATTAGTAGAGTAGGTGGAGGAGATTTAATAGAGCTCAGAAAAGTTTAGATAGAGCTCACTTGCCTCTATTTAGCCCAGGGGCTTAGGATTTATAAATGAACAATTAGTGGTATGAGGCCATTGATGGGTTAAGGTATCTCTTACCCTACTTGAGGATCATTGATGATAGTAGCTGATGAGTGCATCCTCCGAAGGATAATATTAGAATAAGACGACCATGATGATTTGCTTTGCTAAGGCTCTTGGCCCGTCTAGGACAAGCAAGGGATGAACCTTTGCACCGTTCGTTTGAAAGATAGGACTGGGGAAGTTGTGCCATACCATCTGGTTTTAATACATGTGTGCAAGCCTTCCCCTAACTACAATTGAAGATGTCAATGGGCGAAGATGAAAAGTAGGCCTTTATGACATTTTCTTAGGTATTGAGATAGGCAGGGGCTGACAGCTATAGAGGATTAGTGTAAGTCACCTATAATTGTGCTTAAGCGGCTTCCACAGCCTAAGTGATGAGGTGAGTTGGCATTATTGTCATTTTCTCTATCAAGATTATTTTTTGAAAAAAAGAAATATATAGTCATGCAATTGTAAAAAGACTTTTTGAGCAATAGCTCATATTTTATAAGGCTTCCCTCTAGCCATTACCTCCCTTTCTCTTCTCTGTAAGGTTGTCGCCTCTCTCTTTAGGCTATTGCTGCCCACACCAACCCCCCCCCCCCCTCTCTCTCTCTCTCTCTCTCTCTCTCTCTCTCTCTCTCTCT